GCAGGAAATGGTTGTGGTGCACTGCAGCCTGCCCTGGATCCTGCCTGTCCTGCTGCTCAAGGAGCAGTTTTAACTGCGTTTACACGCATGTTGTAATCGATCCAGTCATAGAAGTGCTGAGTGGATTAAAGAAAAAATCATCCTGGGTCGATCTTGGACTTCGTCCTGGACTCATATGGCTTTTTCTTACTAATTACAACTTTATTTTATATCTGTGCCTTTTGATTATAATGCCTCTGCAATTTTAAGAGGTACACAGCAACAGCTACTGCAGCACAGAAAAGCCTTTTGTAATTCAAAGCTGCATTTTACACCGTTTTAAAGAGAGCACTTTGAATACCTTTAAGCCTTCTATCGGCTAGCTTGTTTATGATTCTTAGCCGAAATGCTCTGAATCAAAAACTCCACTCTAGTTAGAAATCTTTTGGTTAATGTTTTAAAACAACCTGTAGTTTCAGCCTGCGCGTTCCCCAATAGGTTTGCTGTGCCTTGTACGTTTCCCTCGCCTGGGATTTTTCCATCCCCCTCCTGCTCGCCGCTTGCCGGCCTGGGCCTCGCCCGTGCCGCTTCCTCGCCTGAGGCGAACAGTTAAGAGAAAACAACTTTACTTCTCAGGCGGGGAGGGGGGGCTGGGATCAGCTGGGCCTGACCTGCGCCGCTTTGATTTTAGCCCGATCTGTGGGTTACACCGAGACGGCTCTGCGCCGCTCGCTTTGCCACAAATTGGGTTTTTAATATAGCTCCTACCGGGGAGTCAGGATCAGTGCCAGAATGCATCTGGAGGCTTTTCCGTAGCCTCTCTAGCCACTCCGTAGGAGTCTCGTCCTTCTCCTGACGCTCTTCCAAGGCTTTTCCCAGATTCTGTCCTTGTGGCACAGCCCCCCGTATACCTTGGATGACCATATACTTTAACTCCACTATCTTCTGCCTGTCTTCTTCTAGTTGGGCATTCCACGGTGGCCTTTGGCTGGGCCACTTAGCCTCCCCACTTCTCCCTTGTGGGTTTCTGTTCCCAATCCTTAATCGCCGCTGTCCGGATCATGTCCCGCTCCTCAGAGTTAAACAGCGATTTCAGGATAGCACAAATATCATCGTACGAATAGATGCTATTTCTCAGAAACTCATCAAGCCGTTCCGCCACCCCTAGGGGATCATCCATGATTTTCCCCATATCTTTCTTAAAGGCCCGCACATCCTCAGAATTTATTGGCACATTCACATAACTGATAATCTCTGGAGCGGTTGGGACTTCCCTCAGTGGGAAGAGCCCTTGTTGTCTCTCCTCTTCCCAGCCATCGTCTGAGTGTGTTCCTTGGGTTTTCTGTCGTGTGCGACTTGCGGGGTGTTACAGGGGGTTGGCCGGGTTTGGGGAGAGGCCGGGGTGCCCGGTGATTTGGGTACGGGGGAGGTAAGTTTTCTAAGGGTTTCCATACTATCTCCAACACCATTTGCTGCTTATATGTTTTCACGGGGTATAATGAGACGCTAGCACATTCCTACATCCCCGCATATTCTGTTTCCTCCTGTGTTGCCCCCCACCAAGCACGAATTCCTTCAGAGTCCGGCAGATTTCTCTATTGAATGACCCGAATATAGGCCACACTATGTTTCTTAACTTCTACATGAGCCCACTTTTCCATACAGAAGAACACGGCTCTTTCTTTAGATTTTTGTTTACTCATGCGGCACTCTTCCCAATGCTCCAACATCCATCCTAAAGGGCTATACCTCGGGATGTCGGGGAGGTTCGACTTCCCGTTGTCCCGGGATTTTTCTTGAACTTTACTTTTCTTTAGGCCCATGTTGAAGACCCTTTTCCTCCCCCTTTTCAATCTGCTTTTGTCTGATTTAGTTAGTACACGCAATGAAGCCAGACAACCACCACCAATAATTTCTTTGTTAACTTATTAATTGTGTGGAGAACCGAGCCACAGACTTTCTGTTAACAGGTCTCTTACTTTTTCCCTGGATCCAGCGAGGTGCTTCGTTCTTCCTGATCCGTCAGTGGTCCCCGGAACCCCCCCTTTCGTTCCCCTTTTCTCCCTTCTGGGGTCCCTCCGTGTGTGTGTTCCCAGGAAAAGCCCGTACTCGCTCCTTGCTTTCCGGACCTTTTCCTTGTCTCTTTGGTGTGTGTGTTTTGGGACACTTTTTAACTCGCTTCCCCTTTGCCTGACCGTCTCCCTCGCGGGAGGACGGAACTGCGGTCTCCGGGTCCACACTCACTTCGTGAAAATTTCACATCTCATACACACACACACACACACACACGACCACCCTTGTATTCAACCCCGCGATACTCACGGTTCCTTTTCCTTGCGTGGGATCTTCGTGCACGTAGATTTTATGGGTAAAAATTAGCCGGATTTCACGGAGAGCTATCTCCGTGCTCTAGAGCTCAGGGCCCGTCCCCCGCTGTGGTGTTTCCGTGGCTAGTTTTTAAGGCTGCCAAAAAGTTCGTTTTTACCTGGTTGGTTCTACTGGGTTCCCAGTCTCACTTGGCCGCTGAAATTCCGGCGGGGTGCCGTTTCCGTGCTGCTTCATGGCCTGCTGTGGCTCAGGCTGAAGCTCAGCCCTCTGCCTTCCCCACAAGGACTTGCACACAAGCAGGCCAGGGAAGCCCACGGGGTGTGCGTCTGTCCGTGCCAGCACCTGGTTGCTGGCAAGGAGCTGAGGCTTCCTATGGTGGGTGGGAAGCTGTGGCCTGGCCATGGGGGACAGGCAGATCCCCTCCAGGGAAGGCCACAAGTGCTGCCGTGGCTCCCCCCCAGGGTCTGGGGCCACTTACCCACAGGTGTACTGGATGCTCTGTGTCATTCCAGCCACGGTCAGGAGGATGAGGAGGCTGAGCCAATTCATGGCTGCCAGAGGCACGTGTCAGCTGCAAGCACTGAGGGCTCCGCGCAGCAGCACAGCCACAGCCGCAGTGCCCACAGCAGCCGTTGTGCCCATGGTGCCCTTGGCCCTGGGGCTGATGTCACAGAGGGGTGGGTTCCATGTTCTGGGCCCTGTGGGGTTCTGTGGCACAGGGCCCACTGGGGGAGGGGCAACATGGAATTGAGGAGCCATAGAATGGTTTGGGGGGGAAGGGACTTTGGAAATCATCTCACTCTGAGCCCTTGTCCTTGAGCATGGAGGGATAGCTTGCACTGAACATGTTTTTCAGATCTCAGCTCAGGAGCTGTTCTCAAACACATTGGCAATGTCTCCCCCAGTTGATGGGCTGACCTGGATGATGGTCAAAGGTTAGAGTAACTTGTGATGTGTCTTTCTTCATCACTGTAGGCAGTCTTTTATAATAATGATTAGCTGCATTGCCTATCTTATCCTTTTGTAAATATTTGTAAATATTAATGGTTTGATGTCCTACTTACTTATCCATTTGCATTACTCTTGCTGTTTCTGATGCCTTAAGTTTTAGCTTTTATATTTTTCTGATTCTCTGCTGCCTTGTTGTGTAACTCTGAACTTCATATTAAGTGGCTAATATCCTCTTTTTACAGGGTAGTTACGCAAAACAATCCCTCCTCAGCTTGAGAATCAAGGACAATCATTACTCAAAAAGCATAAAAAACAGCAAAGTGGAAGGGGCAAGCCAAGAGGTTGACACTTCATGACCTGGAGATGTAATTGGATTGTTAACCCCAATATGGAAATGTACCAAATTGAAAAATTGTAAAAACTGGTGACCAAGATCCATCTTAGATCCAACCTGCTTGTATCCCTGGCCAGGCTCTTGTACTGCCCAAGGTGTATCCCTTAAAGGCCTAAATAAATACCAACTTTATTTATTTAAATCTGTCTAGTCTCTGTTCCAGATAAACCTCCTCAGGCATCATTTTGAAATATAGTAAATTACAGTTATTCCTGCAGTTGGTGTCTGTGTCTTCTGCGCTGACCCTGCCTCCATGAAAAACAGGCATCCACAGCTGCTCTGGAATGCCAGTATCTCATGTTATGAATAAAAAGTTATCTATTTTTGTTTAAGGTGACAGAGCTAAAACCGGTTGGACCTGTTGCTGTTAAATTAGCTTAATTGTTAAGAGTTCTTCTTTAATTGCCTGTCAATGGTTGGTGATTTAGCCATTGTCCTCCCGATGCTTGCCCAGGAGCTACACCTGGATAAGGCAGCCCAGGAGAATAATGTGTGGGAAGCCCCCAGAGCAGTCGGTGGGGAGCAGGGGCTGGGAGGGTGACTGAGTGGCCTGGCAAAGCAGGCCCTGGGCTGTGTTGGGGCGGTGCTGCCCTGGCTGCCAGTGCTGCTGGGGGTTGAGTGGCTCATGGCATGCTCCTACCTGGCAGGTGTCGATGCGGCCATGCGGGTAACCAGCACACAAGTTGTGGGTGTGGACTTTCCCTGCATACCATCCACTGCTGTTGCAGAGCTGGAGATCAATGAGCTGGACCTTGGCCTCCTGCAAGTGATCAGTTGAATCTTGAGCTGTGGGCAGAGAAAGGAATAAGCCCCCGGCAGCTTGATATCAGTTTCCTCATCTGTCGGCAGGGATCCCTTCTCCTAGGACATGGCTTTGCCTCTGCAGAGACACTGTGGTGCTGTGATCCTGCTGCCAGCCTCTGGGGAGCAGGCGAGGCCTGTCTCTTCAGAGGTGTACATCATGCAGCCTGGCTTTGGCCTCTGCTGTGGGGAAGCCCAAACCCTCTCCCCAGTGTGCTGAGCTGGCCCAGAAGTTGCTCTTGGAACTCACATTTTGCAGTAGTGGCACCCCAGCCAGCAATCCAGCAGTTGATGAGCTCTGAGACTCTTAGGGTGGGGTCAGCCACACAGGCCAGCTGGATGTAGGAGCTGCACTGGACAGGATGGTCCAATTGCACCAGGGCAATGTCGTAGCTCATGTCAGCAGGATTGTAGTACTGGTGTATCAGCACCTGCTTGACACTGCGCACTGCTGCCCCAGGGCCCGGCTGAGTGAACTGAGTGGCTCCAATCACTAGGTAGACCATGCTGATGTTACTGGAAAGGAGATGGAGAGAAGACTGAGAGGGAGCAGAGCCATGTGCCACTGGAGCCAGCAGTTGCCAGACCTTGGCTTGGAAAGGCAGAGAGGGAGCAGTGCTTTGGCAGGTGTGAGTGTCCTCACATGCCTTAGGCTGGGGGAACGTCAAGCTAGAGGGTGCTAGGTAGCCTTGCACAAGCCCAGGCTTCTCCTGAGCAAGTTGGCAGCCTGGCTGCCTGAGAGGAAAGGGGATGGAAATAGTAGTGGGTGCTAACTCCACTGCAGTGTTGTGGAGATGTCTCCATTCCCTGCCTCTCCTTACCTGATATCATCAAAGCAGTGGGCCGCTGTGAGGACCCACTCTGCACTGATGAGGGACCCTCCACACATATGTCCCAGGCCTGGTACCCAGGGGTGCTGGATGCTGACGATCCAGGGCCAGGCTGCTTCCGCAGCACCTGTGCCACCCACGACGCGTGTCATGCCATAGTCATAAGCCGGGTTGCCGTAGGAATAAGTCATGGGGCTGTAGACAGATTGTGGAGCTCGGAGTCCGCAGGTCCCTCTGCAAACAGAAAGTAATTTCCGTGCTGCTTCATGGCCTGCTGTGGCTCAGGCTGAAGCTCAGCCCTCTGCCCTCCCCACAAGGGCTTGCACACACAGCAGGCCAGGGAAGCCCACGGGTTGCGCGTCTGTCCGTGCCAGCACCTGGTTGCTGGCAAGGAGCTGAGGCTTCCTCTGGTGGGTGGGAAGCTGTGGCCTGGCCATGGGGGACAGGCAGGTCCCCTCCAGGGAAGGCCACAAGTGCTGCCGTAGCTCCTCCCAGGGTCTGGGGCCACTTACCCACAGTTGTCCCATGTCCCGTGAGCCATTCCAGCCACGGTCAGCAGGATGAGGAGACCGAGCCAATTCATGGCTGCCAGAGGCATGTGTCAGCTGCAAGCACTGAGGGCTCCGCGCAGCAGCACAGCCACAGCCGCAGTGCCTGCAGCAGCTGTGCTGCCTGTGGTGCCCCAGGGCTGATGTCACGGAAGGTTGAGTTCCATGTTCTGGGCCCTGTGGGGTTCTGTGGCACAGGGCCCACTGGGGGAGGGGCAACATGGAACTGGTGAGCCACAAAATGGTTTGGGTTGGCTGGGACCTTGGTGATCATTTAGCTCAAACCCCTTTGCTTTGGTCATGGAGGGATAGCTTGCAGTAGACCTGGTTGTTCAGAGACTGGCTCAGAAGATGTCCTTGAACACTTCGAGGTGTGGGGCTACCACAGCTTCTTGGGGCAACCTGGGCCAGTTCCTCAGTATCCTCACCATCAAGAACTCTTTCCCAATGTCCCATCTAAAGCTACCCTCTGTCACTGTAAAGGCATTGCCCCTTTTCCAGTCAGTACCTGCCTTTGTAAAGAAGGCTCTCTGCTCTCTCTCTGGTTTCTTTAAGTCCCTTTTCTTGTGTGATGAGGGTGTGCAGGCCCTAGCGTAGGCAGTGGCTGTCTCCTGTCACTGTCTGCTAATATCTCACAAGAAAACATCTATCATGGCATCACAGCCTCTTTGAAATTTCACTGCCTGTCTGCTCCTGCTCCTCTCCGCTCTCTGAAGTCTTTTTTCCATGAGATTTTTCACAAAACAGAATCACTCTGAAACAGGGTGCCTTCAGGAAGCATGTGTGTGCTTGGGTCAGGAGCCAGTCCAGTTACAGCCATAGTGGGTGAGCATCCACGTGTCCAGAGTGGATGTTTGAAGGGCAGCTGTGAATGCAGTTGCTTCAGATTCAGCATGGAAATTAAAAAGAAAAAAGTCTGTCCTAATAGCTTTTAATGAACAATCTGCTACTTATTTAGTTTGATGTTGACAAGTTAGCTTAATTTCTCAGGTGGAAGCATCCTAGAAGATGTTAGTAGTTTTGAATAAGGAACACTGTTTTGAAGTTATACTTCTAGATATTTCTGTAGTGATTGTGAAATTTTTTTGGTGATTTTCTTCTAGAGGTGGAGTAATTAAATGTAGGCATGGCAAAATATGTAATATTTCATATGACTTTTTATTTTGAGGAATGCTGGGTTTAGTGGGTTATGACAGGGATGATACTGGCCTAAACAGAGTAGCTGACTTTATTGCTGGGGTGATACCTCAGAATCTTCACTAGTCTTAAGGTACATCACAATTGTTCCCAGCATGGGTTTGCCAGAAAACTTTGAGAACAATGCTGAGTCTTCCAGAATTTCAGCAGCTTGTCTGGGAACCCTTACCTGGTATTTCTGGAGCAAACAGAATTTCTTCTAAGACCATACTGACCTTGACTTCTGGAAGTGCTTTATGTTTGGCACCTATCTAAAGTATCTCTCCTTTGGAGCCCTATGAGAAAATGGGGTGAGAGGGGAGAAAAAATGGTTAATTGCTTTGCTTCTCATAGACAAAATATTTTTTTTTTCTTTACAGGGACACAGAAAAAGTGATACTGGAAATTTCTATTTTTTAGAAAAATTTAAATGGTTGAAATTTTATTTCATATTGGAAATGGATTGTCTTCAATGTATTTTCCAAGGAATTGCAGCTGTCTGTAAGCACAGAAGGGTTACAAAGTTAGGTTACATAGCAAATCTATTTATTTCTGCTGTTTTTTATTAAACTGCATCCTTCAATGTTAATGTAGACCAAGAAAAAGATTTGCTACACAAGTGATCATATTGGTTTGCCAGGTATGTTTACACTGTTCTTTTGTTACATGGCAAGATAATACAGACATCCAGATCATTGCTAATTCTTGTGTGTATAGCATGGTTTACTCTGAATGATGTACAATGTAAGGCTCAGACATTCCAAGAGATGCATAAAGATATTTTATGGGGAAAAAAGTTAATTGCCAGTTGATTTATGAACATAGCTTTCTGCAGAAATATGACTGGATTGAGTAGAGTTCAGGAAACTGATCTTTTATGTATTTTTATAGGACAGTTGGGTGCAGTTGTGACAAGTATAAAGTTGAAGATTTAGTTTTTGTGATGTTAACATGCGAAGCTGAATGTGACTTCCTGACTTCTATAGCTTCAGTTCTTCAGGTTCATTCACACTGCAGCTGAGAAACGTTATTCTGCAGTGTCTAATATTGCCCATACACTACACAAAGAGCTGCAAAGCAGTTATAATAGAAGCAGGCTTTGGGTTTGCATTAATCAGGTGGTGTGTAGCATCTTTATTCATGTTGTGCCAGTGTAAGCTGAGAGATGCAGTGCATAATCTACTCTGCTCTTGTACTGAATAACAAGTGTCACAATCCTTGTTGTCCATGCTATAGGTAAAGAAACTTACAGATTTGACTTGAGCAATAAGGAATACATGTTGACTGTTAAGCATGGCATTCTATGGTGCAAATTAAAAAGAGAGGGAGAAAAAGTAATCAGTTGTTACTGGGAGGGTGATGACTGTCGGGAACTTCTCTAGAAATTGGGAAAAAGTTTGCTTGTAAGAGATTTTTCTGCTGGGGTTTGGAGAACTCAGGAGTACATTAAGAGTGTGTGTGCATATCTAAAAATTATTACTTCAGAGTTTTCAGATGAGGGAGTAGAAGAAAATAAAACTGAAACAGAAATGGAGAGAATTGTTTTGGAAGTGAGACGTTTCCTATGTTTTTTTTTTTTTTCTGAGCAAGTGAAATATATCTTCATGTGTTTGTGTTGAGTTTGAAATAATTTCTATCTTCTTCGTGCTTTTATTTTTCCATAACCTGTATTTATGACATTATTTTTATTTTAATTTTAGAAAAAGTTTATTTAAAACATACTTCAGTAAAAATGGGAAAAATAACTTTAAAGCATGGGTGTCCATATAAAGTCCATTTAATCTGTAGGTGTTGAGTATTTTATTCAGTTTGCTGCTTTTGTCCACATATGACTACATGTATACGTGCACATATGAAAGGTTAATGGATTGTCTGGATTTTCCAATATCACACTGTACATTTTCAGGCATCTTTTAAGGCTCAATGTGTCTCTCACATTCTGTCCCAAAGCTGTAGAGACGTCTTTGTCTAAAGATGTGTACACATTTATGGAGGATATGAAGTTTTTTACAATTTCCTTGGCAACCCAACAATATTTACATCACCACAATTTTCTTATGCAATAAATATTTGCAGTTCAGCTGGCTGGGACATCCCTAATATCTTCCTTTGAGCTGTATGCCTGGGGTAGCCTAGATTTTTGAACTGTTGTTTCCTGGGCATATGCATGGACAAAGGGCCTATTGGTTCTCTGTAAAACTGTGTAAATTTGCTTGTTTATTTCATGGAAATACAAGCAAGAATTATCTGTAGTGCCATAAAAATTTTGTAAGGGGTGCTTATGGGAAACTGGGAAGATTTCCCAGGGCAAAATACTCTATCTGTGGCTTTTCTTGCTGCTAGTTCGTATTTTCTTAAGCAGTGTTCCCAAGTCCTTCAAAGTCTTTTTCCTCAGTTGCTGAGGGCTACTTCAGTCTTCACTCATGCAGTTTTTCTGCTTTTCAGGGTTTATTCTTGGAAAAGATGTTGCTGGTGTTTCTAACTAAGTATATGATCAAAGTATAGAGACAAACAGATGCAGGAGGACATCTTGGTTCAGCTCACACAAGGATGGTTGTGTGGATTCAGAAGAGCCTTTCAGGAGTGAGTGCACCTAGGCTGTAAGAGTTTCTTTTCTGCCTTAGGATCCAGGCTGGATTGTAATGTATCTAAGAGCTCCAGAAGTTCATGGCTCTGCTGTGGCTGCTGGTTTGTCCCTGTGTCAGTATGTGTTACTGACCACACACTATCATTGCCTAGACCCAATTTCATAATGAGCTGAGGACCAGTGACAGGACCTGAAGATTAGACATTAGGAAAACCTTCTTCACCCAGAGAGTGGTTGGGCACTGGAAGAAGTCACAGCAAAAACTGACAGAGTTCATGGAGCATTTGGGCAATGCTGGGAGGTGGACTTCAGTGATCCTTGTGGGTCCCTTTCAGCTCAGGATAATCTATGATCCTCTGATTCTATGAGCACCTTATGCCCCGAAGGAAAACGCAGTTTTCTGGAGGCAAAATATTTTCTTTTCTGAGACACAAAAAAGGAGAGGTCTACCTCAGCTGGCAGAGTACTGATCCCGGAGACCGTAGGATGCCACATGCGCAAAGACACGGGATGACATCCCCAAGGCCGGCAGGACGAGCCCGAGCAGCCGCAGGAGGGCGGCAGAGCATCAGGAACGGAGAGACGCCGCTGGAAAACGAGTTCGGCAATAACAGGAGCTACTGACAGGGGGTCGGCATGTCACACAGACAAAACAGGAAATGAGCTCAAATTCGACTCACTTCTGCTCTTATTTCCATGGGTCATTCTTTAATTATATCCATCCAGATTAAGCCGTAAGGTTCTTGGGGTAGGGACTTGTCTAAACGATGTATTGCTAGGCACACCTATGACACTGTGCAAATAATTAACTGCTGTAATTGTCGTGCTTGTAAAGCATCCTCACTTGACACTGCTATGGGACAGTTACTGACTGTATCGAATGTGGCAGTGTAAGCCAGACTAGGACCTTGAATCAAAAACTAGAGAAGGCTAAGCCCTCATTGACAAATGTGGTTTATTGCTTTGAAGCATTTGTAGACGGAAACCAAAATGTTACCCATTTAAGCTTTTCCTCTTCCTGGACAAGAATGACCAAACTGCCAAGGATTAATTCTTCTCAATTGAGAGATTTGGGACAACTAGATTCTAACCAGGTTCTATTGGTTAGACCTCTATATTAAAACCAGGAAGAAGTGCATTAGCTCTTGTTGAGATCTTGTCATCTTTTAAGATGTTCATGAGTAGCAGGTGAGGGGTCTAGGGGCATGGCCTTCCACAGATGCTGATCTTCTATGTACTGTCATGATTCTCAGTGGAAGCTGAGAGCAATCTCTGTCATCTACCTCCAGAAGAGTTGCTTGGGATGTTCTCCATCCCCTGGCTCTCAAAGTGATGTAGTCCCCC